TCTTGTGGTGGGCACCAGATTGGGAACACCCAGGCTACATACAATAAAATCCCCTCAAAGGCCTGCCAACAGCCAGATGACCCATACCTACACAGCGGCTGTGTTTGCGCAGCTGGAATGGGGTTGAGGAGTTTATGGTTCAGTGTGTTGTGGGAACTGAGGCACTTTCCTAGCATGCGGTGTTATCCAGGCCTTCCAACCACAACAGGTCGTCCTCACTTTGCAACCACAGTTGGGACCGGCCGTTAAGCAAAGCGGTCACTAAGTGAAGCCAAAACTGGGTTTACGATCTTCCTTCAGCTTTCCTTTGCTTTACAGACCTGCAAAGGTCGTCAATGCGAGGATTGGTTGTAAAGTTCCTTTTTCATCACCGTCATAACTGCAAACAGTCACTGTACAAGGCAGTCGCTAAACGAGAACTACCTGGTAAAGTGAATAGGATTTTTGCTCTTTTATAACTGGGCAAAAGAAGGAATTTCAGAAGCAGCAGTTTCCCCCTTCTACCCAACGACTAAGGGAGATGGGCGACGTATAAATTTAAAAATAAACAAATAAAACCCAAGCACCCTTGTTGATATTGGTTGCAGCCTGGCTCAGATTTCCTTGTCGCTTCCCAGAATCTGGCCCTGTTTTTTGAATCTTACACTAGATATCTCTGACTACTTCAGGAAATAACTTTCACATTTAGGCATTGCTGAACCAAGAGCCTCTTGCTAAGGCTGGATTCTCCTTAATGGATTGTCTAATTGTAATCCCTGGGTTCCCTCTTCTGGAAAATCATTTGGATCTATAATTTGTTTTTGCAGCTTCCACTTGAAGACGTTTAGCAAAAAGAGAGGCCTAAGTGATGTAAACTTCCAGTTGTCCCTCAGTTGTTTGAGGCAAAACATTTTCCCAACTCTGTTCTTCCCACAGTTTGTACTTGTGTCTTCAGCCAAGTGGGAAAAAACACTATTGTTTTGCGTAACCTTTTAAAACGCTCCTTTGGGAGCACTACTGTCTCCAGAGCTCACAAAATAACTATTTATGGAATTCCATCAGGTATATTTATGACACATGTCCAATGCTTCCTTTTCATCATTCCTTTGCACGTTTATAGCAATTACCAATTTGCAATGGAATCTGATTCCAAGAAAGTAGGTGTAGCATCTGTCCTCCATTAAAATCCAGAAAAGATTTTTTGGTGTGTGATTAAATGTTTGCTTAATATTAGTAGGATGGACAGATTCATGTATTACTTGGACTTTCACGTGTTCACTATATAAAGTCTGTTCTGTCCTATTTTCTCTTGGGGTTTTTTTCCCCCACATTTTGTAGGAATTTTTACATTTCAGGGTGCATTTGAAAAGCATTTTCCTTCCAAATCGTTGGTTGTTTTGGTGGGATGTTAGGTGCAAGAAGTGGTTAGCTTAAGTTTTAATTGACAGAGTAAATCAGCCCGTGTGGAATTTGTATAGACTGAATTCCTCAAGCATTCCTACCTTTAAAAAAAAAGAATAAAGCACTTTTGATTCTGAACCTTTGCTGCAGAATGCGGCAAGACTCGCTTTCATGTCCTGTTCCTGTTCTTGTACTTCCTCTTCATTTTAAGCATGCCTGTTTATTAAAGCTTTATATCATTGAAAAATGCAAGTAAGTAAAGGTAATCGTTTCCTGTTGAGCTCAGCAAAGCTGCCTTTGAAAACTTCCATCTTCCTTATTTTTTTATTGCTTAATTATTTTTACCAGTCCACCAATAAGTTTATTGTTGTGACCACAGGTTGCAATCACATTGCGTAGGATAAAAAAAGGATGAAATTAGTAATGATAAAAAAAGAGGAAAGAAACAACAACAAAGAAAAGGTGTGCGAGAGAATTGAGTGAAGATGGAACCAATATTAAAACTTAAAAATTTCTAAATTTAAAAGAAAGCATGGCAACCTGCATGCTAAGAATTGGAGTTATATCCTCAAGGATGTAATTCATATTTCATTGTAGATTGGGCAGTAGAGGATGTAGTAAATAATATCCTCCACTTGGCCAACACCTCTCATTATTTTTATATTATGGACAGTGTACCAATTGTGTGTTCTTGTTCTTCCTAGCCATTAATATTACCTTTTATTAAGCTAGACATATATCCCTAATTTACTTTTCCTGAGCAATTTAATTGATCGGGTTAATTTAGAGATGGTCAGTTTTGATGTTCTTGAGGCATTCTGTTCTGCAAAGATTATATCGGCATCACACATTTTGAGTTAAGCAGTGTTAATGTAGAGTGCAGAAAAGAAGACGGCAATAGTAAGCTAAAGAAGAAAAAGGAAGTGCATAGCTAAAATGAGTTTACACTAGCATTGTTCACTATACCACTCCATCCAGTTCTATCGTTCCAAGCCATTTTGGTTCTCTTATGTCCATACATTGCTTTGTCCATTGCCATTAATTCTTTAAAATTCTCTCTTCTCTGTTTTTGAGGATCTCAGCAACTCCATCCAACCACTCTTAATCTTCTTTTCCTCCCAACTCATTCACTCTTCCTTCGTATTTTTGTTTTGCTATTTGATCTTGATTCATTCTCTCTCTAAGACCAAACTTTCTTAGCATGCTTTTCAGACCCATTCATTCTTGAACCTATCTCTTCTTGTTTTAGCATACACACTTCTTAAATATTCCATTCCTGCTGCATTCAGGGCCCTTGTGTGTTTCTTCTGACATACCCATAACGAAGTGGCCAGAAGCGTGCCTACTTATACACAGTCATTTTTGCTTTTTGGGGCAAATATTCAACCTTTGCAACGGACTATATACTACCTTCCACCTTTCTACCAGCATTTTCATGTTTCACAATGTCTCCATTCTTTTCCCCACCTTTGGTAAACGTTCTACTAGATACATAAACTCATCTAACAATACTTTTTCATATAGGACTTTCACCTTCTCTTCCTGTAACCATTCTTACTTCTTTAACCCCTCTTCCTTTTTTCCGTCCATTTTCTCCCAAGATCTTGTCTTGACACTGTCAAAAAATGAGCTATCCCACATTCAGAACTTTCATCACCCTCATATTTACTCCTTTTGTATTAACTTCATTACAGTCACTGGCCAGAATTCAACATGTTAATAGCAGTTAAAACAAAATAGTATAGTTTACAGCAAGATCATGAATACGACCAAACTGTGTCTGGTCTTACAAACAGTATGGTAATATTTGGCGATGTTCATAGAAACTGAATCTTACTGGTCTGATGATAGCAGCTGTACATTGAATAAATCAGGATTGCCTGGATCCTAAACTAGGATCTCTAATCTACAGTCTGTCTTGCAGGCCAACATACTGCTGCCCACATCCCATTAACAAGGAGGTATATTCTATATAGTGACTTATAATCACATTGCAGATGATTTAGAGAAATGTATGTTGTTTCACAAATTGATAACTTCATAATGGATTCGGTGCCATCTGACAGTAAGTGATTGGGCATGCAGTTCAAATATAGAGGCATGTTTGTAACAAAATCAGAAGGAGATATCCTATCCTTTAAAATTTCATAGTCTTTTTATGTCTCTTTTTTCTTTTCCAGAAGTGAAAATTTGATTAAAATTTGTTAGGGCTGCCCATAATTTTACTTTGAATATTTAGTTCTTACGGAATAATTCCATTATGCATTATAAACTTGATATTAGCCTGTCAACAAACAAAGCAGACTTCAGATGAGAAATCATGTAAAATTTGATTTCAAACCAAGGGTGTATTCTTCAAGCTATGTAGGAACATGCAGTAGGATCACATCTGTTTTACTACCTGCTGGTTCTTTGCTCCATATTTCAAATCAGACTGAAAGAAGAGTGCAAGAGATGATTAAATTTCCAATACTCTGGGACCAGCCATAGTTATTTCAGTTGACATAACCTCCAAGCTATGAACTAAGATCATTTTTTGAAGTGAGTGATTCATGTAAACTCTAAATAACAGCAGACTATTTGACTATATATAGTACGGGGTTTTTTTAAAGTCAGATAACCTGTCATGTTTGCTCTTGTAGCCCTACAGGATCCCATGTTGAATGGTGTAAGCAACTCATCGCTGCTACAATTTCTAGCCAGATTTCAGGGTCTGTGCTCTCAGACAACGTATCCAGAGAATATCGGGTAAGCTTTTTTCTCACTTATTTAAAGTATCTATTCAGTACTACTGTATGTCAGTGTTGCCTAAAATGTAATACGGAACCGGAAGGGGGCAATTATTTAGTATCGTGTACGGGGGTGTCCACAAGTTAGGGTCAAGAAAGTCAAGATTGCACACATGATACACAGAGTCCAACAATGCTTAAATCAAATATATAGATAAATATAAAACAATTAAAAACAAGCAGAGCTGTGATCATGCTGTCATGGTCGCCATCATGACTGTTTTGACTTTACCTTGTAGACACCCCTAGTTGTATGTCAAATTCATCTTTTGGTTTTCCAGGAGAAGGGTCACTGTTTTTTATATTATTATGATATCTCCTATGTAAAGTTGTGATACATCAATAGATATGACTCTGGGAGCCATTTGCCGTCTAAAACTGCTACTACATTGTAGGTTTCTAAAGAGATTGATTGTAAGAAACCCTTCAGCCTTTGTCCTGCCTTTTCACTTTTTTTGTAATTGCCACTGGGGATTTTGCTTGTCCCCTTAAAGCAAAATTAATTTTCCAGTCTGGTCTAGGTTCAGAATAAGGTTGTTTCTTTCTAGAACTAGCCAACTCTTTAAATTCTGTGGCTATTGGAATGGCTCAGCCTGTATTTGAAGATGCCTTCTGCATCATCTATAGCACTGTTTCTCAATCTTGGCAACTTTAAGATGTGTGCATTTCAACTCCCAGAATTCCCAGCCAGCAAGTCTGGCTGGGGAATTCTGGGAGTTGAAGTCCACACATTTTAAAGTTACCAAGGTTGAGAAACACTGAACTATAGTGAACTACTGCAAAATTTCTTTCTGAATGTCTCTTTCTACTCAGACCCGTATTCAGGAGTTCTGCAATGTGTTGGAACCAAATGTAATACTTTCCTGCTCCTTAAGCTAAAGCCATGTGACAAATCTGAAATTAGAATAGTTTTGTTGCCTTATAGAACTGTAGATTTTTAGAACTCAGAAATGGTATCTGCAGGAATCCTGGAGAACAGAATATTTTAATTTAACATGTACATTTCCATACCTCACATATGATGTCAGGATGGTCCACTGTAATTCTTCAAGCCACTTGAGTCTCTGCTTCTCTGGCATTGGGTCAGATTGCTGACAGCAGATGAATCTGGCAATCCTCTGCATGACTATGTTGCCTGACAGTGTTCTAGGTCTAATAAATATTATTAAACTCTGGTAACCCTGAAGTGAAAAATAAAAACTGAATGTTGCCAGCAAAGTGTGACCTTAGTGAACAAAGCTTCACCATATGGGTCGATCAGTTGTAGAAAAGATCCAAGGTTTTTTCCTGTTTCTTAGTTGATATTTGTTTATGGCCAGGTAAATAAAAGATCCATCTTTTTCTTTCCACCCATTACAATTTGGACTGATAAGTTGCCCCTGCAGTTATATTAGCTGATGGAATGGGAGGTTAAAATGACCACTCTCTATGCATTGTGTGTTTTTTGCTTTATTGGAGAATCTGAAGGAATATCTTTAGCTAACATCCTGGAGAACCATCTCCATTTTGGCTCAAATCTGGATGGAGCTCAGATCCCTGCCATCTACCATGAGAGTGTCCTGAAGAATTATATTTACTTCTCATGTTTTATTAAGATGGTAAATAAAGAACAAAAAGAAACGAATATTTAAACTTCCTGTAGAACAGTATTGAGGTTATAAATGTTCGTTCTAACTTTTGGAGTGTTGTGTTAGTTACCTCCCTGAAGCGATCAAGGCTTAAAACAGTTGGCTAAATTTATTCAGGAGGCTGTTGCCTACCCAGTAGTGCTGAATCATATTTAATTATACAGATTAAGTCTGAATATTTCAGTGATATGTATTTCCTGAGAACAATGGGTGTGGAAGGAATGAAATTATTTGTGCATGCATATTAAAATCTGCACCTTACCTTTGCTTTTGTTTTTTTCAATGACAGTGATTTTTAAAAAATCAGTGAAATAATTGTGCATCTTGAATACTATTATCACATTTTTGCTGACCAGATATTTCACTGTTTGGTCTTGTTCATGCCTCTGACCCTCTTGATATCTTTTGTAAACACCTTCAATAAATTAACTGAAGGGAGTCAACAATTTGGGGGGAAAAAGGAAAGGTCACTTGGTTATTTGAAGATTCTTGATACATTCATATTTAATCTTGTAATAAGTGATCATGTAGATCAGTGTTTTTCAACCTCAGCAACATTAAGATGCTTGGACTTCAACTCCCTGAATTCAGCACTGGCTAAGGAATTCTGGGAGTTGAAGTCCACCCATCTTAAAGTTGCTGGGGTTGAGAAACACTGCTGTAGTCCTGACTGGGCTTCTGAAAACATCATAATGAAGGTGGCCTTACCTGAAATCAGGATTTCAATCTATGACTTGTTGGATAATATTTGTATTTTAACTAACAGGTGTACAGGAAGCCTACCATCAGGGTAAGAATATATGTGGCTATCAGCAAGTTAGACTCTTAACTGTTTGTGTTTTTTTCTGTTGTGTTCAGAACTCGATGTGCCTTGGTGTTTGTTCTTCTTTACTTCATTAATGGTTGTTTTCAAGCAGCTGGGCCATCTTGCTATGCAGCATAACAGCTTGTTTGCCATAGAAATGTTTTATGTACATTCCAATGTTTTCATGAGCAGTAAAAACCAGAGTGGGAGTGTGCATATATTTAACTTATGTTGGAAAGGCAGGGAACCAACTTACATTTTATTCTATTAATTCTGACAAAATGGGTCCTCTCAGCTGATGCTTACATGCTCTAGACTAGAGTACAATATTAGCAACCTAAATGCGTGCAGTGTGTTCAAGTGGTTGGAAAGGGAAGTCTAAGGAAAGACGTAAGTCTTAATTTAGTCCGTGTCAACAAGAAGCCAATTCATGTCTCCATTTACACAAGCATTGCCTTGATTGTCAGACTCTTAGGACAGAGATTCTAAATCAGGGATCCAAGGAGGTTGTCACTGCAGTGACCAATATTGTTGCTCTCAAACTGTTAAAATACATTCATTTGGTGGTGATTTTTTTCCCCTTTTTTCTTTGCTTCCTTTCCCCCAAAATTATGTTGCACAGTATATAACATCAGGGCTCCTCTTTCAAATTATTAAAGGAAATAGACAAGAAACAAATAAAAAGAAAAAAGACTTGGATTATCTGCTTCCCTACTTTATAAGGGGATTTTTACCCATGTAATAAGTATGATGCATAAAGCAAATCTTAAAATAAAGTATCAAGATGAAAACAATTGCAATAAACACACTCCTCTAAGTCAATGTTTCTCAACCTTGGCAACTTTAAGATGAGTGGACTTCAACACCCAGAATTCCCCAGCCAGCCAGGCTGGCTGGAGAATTCTGGGACTTGAAGTCCACTCATCTTAAAGTCACCAAGGCTGAGAAACACTGCTCTAAGTCTTTCTTTGAGGGACAGGGCTTGTATTTCTGTTATACATTTCATAGTGTTACCATTTTTTTCCTCATCTCTCTATCTGATTGCTCAGACTTCAGCCAAATCTTTCCAGCTTCTTTTTTCATGCCATTGCCAGATCTGCTATACTTCCAGGCCCTTCATCTCTGACAGACAAGACTCAAACACAAAAGCTCAATTCTGCTCTTTTAAATAATACTTTAAAATACAATCTACCATAATCTTCTGAAGGTTGGCTGCTGACTTTTTAAAGGTCAACTGAATACTGCTTTCTGATTGAATGGGAACTAGGTAAGAATGCATATGGAATTTACCCAGTTCTTTAGTTCCATGACAAAACATGGACATTTAGATTCCATTTTTTAATATTATGTTTGAAGTCAAGGCAGGGCTGCTGACCAGAAAACGTAAAGATCTTAGAGATGTTCTGGACCCACAGGTTAAGTGGGCTCTTTCATAATGTATGTGGATTTTCAGAGAAATCAACAGCAAAAAATTGCAATTTTATTTTCACTAAGCTCCAACTGAAATTTAGCTTTTCATTTCAAGAATGAATGTAAGCAGCAAAGTAATTTATGGCCTCTAGCCTCCAAAACTGTTTTTCAGCAAATATCTCTAAAATTATCATGTGGATTAAAAAAGAAACACATATATTGCTATTACTTATTGGGGTTTTTTAACATTTTAATGAATGTATTTGAGCATAATTGGTTTCCTCTGTAATACAGTCTATGTCTTTGTATTTCATTTTCTGCAATTACATACATTTTTTTGAGAAGGGGTTCGTAGGTTTCCCCAGGTGGGGTCCATAGCACCAAAAGGTTGAGAACCCCCAGTTTAAATGGTAGTTCTTACCATTCACCAGTGGTCATCTGAGTTTATCTTGGATGAAAAGTAACCTTGTAAAGCAGGCTTGGCCATGTCTGGCCTGCAGGTATCATTGGAGTGCAATTTCACCATCACCCATGCTAGCTAGGCCTAATGGGAGAACGGCTGCTGGCCAACTGTCTCCACATAACATAAATAAAGTAAAAAATGTAGCCTCTTTTGCTTTGCTTTATTGAAAAAACTTCAAAGTTGACAATTAAAAAGAAAATCCTTTGGATGTTTTGGCAAGATATATTCTTGATTGACCCAAGAGACTTCCCATAGCCAGTATTTCCACTAGCCAGTCCAAAGCTGAATCTGCACCACCCTAGGAACATCCCTCCCATCAGAGGGGCATCCAAGAATCAGTGCTCCAGCCAGGACCTCCCCCTGCTTTTTCCCTTTGTTTTGTTGTGCTTTGGAGTGGCAGTCAAAGCCATGGGGCAGAACGAGGAAACATTCAAAGCCAGGGGAAGAGGGGTCTAGTCAAAAGGACCACCCATTCCGCAGATCTAGAGGAAACCCTGCAAAGCTCTCTGCAACATACAGTATTTGCTCTGGGACAGCAGGTGACCTGGAGGTTCTCAGAGGTATTGTGGGGAACAGCAATGTAGCACCACTCATGGATCGGCACAACTCTGGGAGGGGGGCCAGTTACGTGCAGAACCATTTCCAACTGGCATTTTAATGAAATGATCAGAACTGGTTGCAGCCAAACCCTGGAACATTTCCCTGAATCTTGCACAAAGTCACAGTTTGTGTTAATGAGCAGATTTCAGACAGTACCATTGCATTCTTAGCAGAATTGCCTTAATGTGACCAAAGAGGGATCAGAAATATGTCATTGTTTAATCTTCAGATTTTTGCATGGTTTCCCTTTCTGCTATCATGATGTGCTGTAATCAGTTTCTTCTGTTATTTTAAGCATGTAGCCTTTACTCTCTGCATTTTGTCTTTTCTGTTTTAAAGGTTAAAGATTTCTAATGTCAAAAAGACAGTACATACTTTTTGTTCTGTGATACCAAGGCTCACTCTTGGAAGGATAGAAATGCATGCATTCCTGTTCATTCCTTTTTTACCAAAGTAACTGGATTTCATAGGCGTCAACATATATACTTTAATGCCTTTGATTTAAGAAGGTATAAAAAAGCCGACCAAGTGCATCAGTGTTAAAGTATCTACTGTCTCTTTTTTGAAAAATTCTGTCCTTTCACCTGTTCTGTGCATGTTTTTTCCCCTCTTACTTCTGCTTGCCCACTGCTGCAACATGCAATTCAGGAGACTCAGGATGGACACAATGGCTATCCTTCTGACGCAGAAGTTGATCAGGTTTATATTTATACTCCTATTTTGTTCCGTCACTTATTATGTAGTGTTCTACTTTGGGTGTTGGAAAAGTGCAAACGTTAGGGGGTTTTGTTATCTGTTCTTCCAAAGCTTGACAATCGAATTGAGGACATGAAACGTGTAAACACAACTAGCGCTGTGAGTTTTGAGGGACATAGCAAATAAATGCATACAAAGGATATAATTGCTAAATTGGGGATTCTTTTTTTAAATGCTCAAAGTGTTAGCCTTACTCTTTTCCCTTCCCATAGCACCTTGAACTTCTGGGTAGTCATAGCCTTTCCAGATGGAGGGTGCACGTCGCCCTTGGATCACCCCTTGAAAGTAATAAATACCAAAATGCCTTTGCAGTCGAATATCTCCACTAAGCACATAGCGCATCACCAGAGACAGACAACTAGCCTGGATGGGCACAGGGTATGGCCCTCCTGCACAGGATAGGCACGAGCTATGTTGCCATTGTTCCTGAGATGCAAGTAAGATTGGGTGGACACTGGAATTGCATGGCAGCTTCAAGGAAGCAGGCACTCCTTAAGAATGACACTGCTGCGTGCCTCTTACACTTTTGCAGCTTCTGCCTTGCAAGATGCAGAATTCATCTCCTTTCTTCGCCTTCCTTAATACTCAGTGACCATACTTGGCACCAAGGGCTGTGGGAAGAGTTGCACCCCCAAGTTTCCTAGGTTCTGCAGAAAGATGCAAGGAGGCAGCCCCAGTTTCCAAATTCTTCTAATGAGAATTCTTCTGCATTCTTCAGTGTAAGCAAGCCCTGGAAATATTGTATAGTCAGAGGAATCGGTGACCATCCAAAAGAGTTTTACGTGCATGTACGCATTTAGACATATTCATAGAAGTTTTGGAACTCTGCTGTCTTCCCTGTTACAGCCATAAAGGCCTTTGAAAATCTTTAAGATTTCAGAAATGATTTGCTCAGGTACACTGGCAGCAACCAAAAGAACCCTTAAACATGCAGAGGAAATTGTGCAGCTCTTTGAGTTCCACCCATCCATAAAATCAGAACAGTGCAAAAAAAACCCCTCCCCTACAATAATGTTTACAGAATTGTTTTAAAAATAAAAATATTAATGCTGTTGGCTTAATTAGAAACCATTTAACCAACTAATTGGCTGCTTATCAAATGTAACATATTAGAATGCCCAAGCAGGTGACTGTGACAGTATTCAACATCTGCAATGATGTCTGTTGTCTGTATTCAGAAAATTATGTTTCATTTTTTCTGTATATAATTTTTCTTAAAGGAAGTGGTGCTCATAGTTTTGAAGCAGCAGAACTGAACATTATTTAAAAATTGGTGTGTTTTTAATTAAAATCCTATTAAACGCTAAATTTTAAATATGCAGGTAATGAATTGGTGATTTAATTTAGCTGATTAATAGGATATTATGTAGGCTAAGCAGCATAAATCATAGCATGTCAAACATAACATTTGCATTCCTTAGCTAAGTATCAAGCAATTGGTTAATTTCTCCAGTACAGTCCAACAGACTCTTTGGCTGATTTGCCCAATTTTGTGTTTTTTCCAACCTCATCTAGAAGGCACCAGTTTGAGGAAGTCTAGTCTTAAAGAAGCCTTGCAGATGTAAATCCTCACTGTCACCAGTTGGACATACAGAAGAAGGATTGCAATATTAATCTTAATGTGTAAATCAAGAATTAAGCAGAAGTTGTTGTGGGCATCTGTGTTTTTTTATAATACTCATTACATGTTTATAAATTCCAGCATCTTAAATTTTACAAGTTTTACTCCACATATAAAACACCAAGCACTCTCAAAAATTAGTCAGCAAAGTTAAGTATTATCAGTCTACAGCTTTTCTACCTCCCCCCCAAATGTCTTTGAAACCAGCAGAAACAATAAGCGTACCCTTGTTGTTGCTGCAACTATTTAGTTGAATCGCTTAGTATGACCCCACAGTTCTGTTTGGTACAATGCTTTTTATAATCTACTTTGCTAAATCATTGCTCTTTAAAAAAAATCTTTTCAAACCCACCGCTGAGCAAAATGCCAGCTCTTTGTTAAGCGGCTGGTTGGGTTTTCTATGGGATGGTCAGAAATTTATTTGGAATCCAAACCTTCTAGTGGTTTTAGTGCCTGCCTAAAGAGACCCTGCTGTTCCTGTGCAGAACAAAATACCCTTTGCAGCAGAGGAGTGCCCATGAGGTAGAGAAGACAGATGCTTGAATTTTGCCATAGGGCCATGGAAACACTCTTTCCTCCATTATCAGTTCCATATAGTGCTGGTAAGAGGGTATAATGACATCTAAGAGGCAAGATTAATGCAAGCAGAGCTGAAAGTGGAACAGTCTTACAAACTTGGTCTCTAAGAGTTATAGCAGATGAGGAGCCTTATGAAGCTTCACTTAACAACACTGCCTACATTTCCCTAAGCCTTGCTGAAGTCTTTTAGGAGCTTACAACCTTTGTATAAATTTCTGGGGGTAATCGATCTGACTTTTGTATAAATGTTTTGCCACTTAACCCTTGTTGCTTTGTAAATATGATCAAGAGCAAACCCGTCTAGGTTCATGAATGTACGTAGAACCTGAACAGATTTAGTCTGCTTTGATCAAGGTCAAGAGATCAGAGATTGGCCATTGGATCACCATCTCCTCACCTATCCCTTCTCAGGAATGAATTCCATTCTGAAATCTTACATTCAGCGAAGCCTTTCCTTTGCAGCGGTGTGAACCATGTTTGTAATTTTAGTGTAACTCCTGCTTTATCAGGCTTCCCAATCCTGCTCAGCAAAAACCCAGGTTAGCTTGATTTACCATGGCCGATCAATCGCAGAACCAGAGTGGTGGTGATGAACTGGTATCCAGGTGGCAAGATCCTGTGATCTCATGGCTCCTTGGCTGCAAATGTGTATCTGCCCCCGTGTTGACGTGTTCTGCTTTGAGAAAGAAAGAGCTGTAATTTGTGTGGCTTCTGTAACTTTCTAGCCAAAGCACCTTGTAGTTGTTTCCCACTGAAAGCTGTGCAGATGGGATGCGAGATTTATCTTTCACCTTTGGCTCTCTGCCAGGCACTGAGGGATGGGAACAAACTTGCCCAGATGGAAGAAGCTCCCCTCTTTCCTGGAGAATCCATCAAAGCTATCGGTGAGTGGACTGTTAAATGATTTTCATAGCATTATCGTTTGCAGCTAAATGTCAAACGCAAGCTATCCTTTTCATTTGATATATTTCAGAATGGTTCAACTTGGCTGTAAGATTTCATCTTGGATCCTTAATCTCTTCAACCCAAGTGGGCTCTAAGAGTAGCTGAACACAAAAAGCAACCCTCTCTGAAACGAATTTTAATTACAAATTAACATAGAATTAAGCAAGCCGTGAGATGGATGTCTAAGTATAATCCTGTAGATACTTAACTCTGTTCAGCAGTTCCATCTCGATTCTTTGTTGTAGGTTTTTTTTTTCATTGTGATAATGTTCCAATACTTTGAAATGAAATGCTAGCAATCTAAACCGCATGCAGGTATGACATCTCTTTTGCTCTCTGAAAGCTCCATTGAAAAATTAAAGGTAAGGCTGTTTCTGTGAGCTGGTTTTAATGCATTCCCTATTTCTCCAGTTGGGGACGGGCGGTTCTCCTCCTCATTCCAAAAGACTCACCCCTTCCCCTGTGGCTGGGGAAGGAGAGGGGAAAACGGGTGTCAAAAAGAGAGAAAGATTGAAGAGGTTCACCCACTTTGCTCTGGTACCACCCACAGCTTGCTTCAGCCCCTTGTCATCAACTTGCAGCTCTGAACAGATTATCCCCTAAGAGAACGTGGCCCTACTTTTTTGAGTAAAGAGCAGGGGTGCGGGAGGGTGGAGAGATGCTGGAACCATGCATCCTCATGTTCCCTCCCTACGTTTGCTTTGCTTTTTCCTACAAAGTAATGCCTGTGTAGAACTTGGGTGATGTGACTTTGATGATTTCTACCAGTGTTGTCTACGGCTCCATTCAGATGTTGTACCAAACCATTATTGAAGACGTTTATTTGTTTTAATACCTGAATTGACAAGCCACCTTATGGTCTTTTTTGCACTGGCAGTGCTGGTAAACCCCAGAAACAGGAGGGAGGTATGAAACTGAGCACAGAGAAGCAGTTCTACACTACAGTTCGTACATTGTCCATTTGGAAGATCAAATCATTCTAAATCATTAATGTAGACTGCTGGCATATCTGGTTTGATCTTATAAATACTGGGTCTTCATAAATCTGCTCATTCTTTGTACTGTGTAAAGCTCTAGTTGACAACTCTGGAAAAAGCAAGTGTCACGTGGCCAGAGCTTAAGTGCTTCTGCTAATCGTCCTACCAAGATAGCCTCCTTGTAAGAGTTGTTAGATGGTTTCCTTAGTGATGTTATTATTGGAGAAGTTCTGCTAAATAAACCATTGACTAGCAGAATAAGGTCTGAGACCAGTGGAATGCACGAGCAGGTGTTTGCGGGTATGGAATCTCTTGGCCCTTGTTTTAAGAAAACAAAGCTGTGACAGATCAGCAGAAACCGTTGTGATTTCAGTTAGGTGAGTAGCAGCCTGTGGAAGAAGCCTCAAGTCCCCATAATTGCTCTCTGGTGCAGAATCAATGCTTGCGCTGCTTAACCTTCCAAGTTCAGGAGTATTTGATGGTTGTCTAAGCTGAGCCTGTGCATTTATATTTTACCCTCTCTCTCTCTCTCTAAAGTGACATCATAATTTCCTTCTTTCCATAAGCTCCCCTTTCTGATCTTCAAACCCATAAACTACAAGTTCATTTTTCTCTTTTTTCAGCAAGAAGTCCATAAGGGGTTTCCAGTCACTGATAAATGTAGTTGTTGGTCTTTGTCTAATCAAACAAGTTAATTTTGCCATCTCTACTAGTTCTGTCATCTTCAACCATTCCTCTGTTGTGGGTCTTTCAGAGTCTTTCCATTTTTGCGCATATAATAGCCTTGCAGCAGTGATCGTATATAAAAGTAATCTTCCATGGCTCTTTTCTAATTGACGTCCATTAATCCCAGCAAGCAAAGTTCTGGTTTCTTTGAAAAGTTGAGTGTTGATCTTTAAAATTCTTTGTATCTTTATATGTATTTGAACTCAGAAATTTCTGGCTTTTTTACAAGTCCACCATGCGCAATGAAATGACCCTTCACGTTGTCCACATTTCCAACATAAATTTGAAGTACCTTTATACATTCTAGATATGTTTTCTGGAGCCATATACCAACAGTACATCACTGTATAAAAAATCTCTTTTAGGTTATAACATAATGTAAATTTCAATCCTTTTAACCACATATTTTCCCATTGTTCCATCAGTTTATTGTGTCCAGAATTCTTAGCCTTAATGCTTGATTTCCAATGGATTAGCTTTGAAATGCCCCACTTCATTCCCCAAAATGCCATTGCTGTTTTGGGGAGATGTAGGGCATTACCTACGATCCATTGACTTAAAAACAGTTTTCCTCCTCTGGAGGTTATTTGCTCCACAGTCATGGTGGAAAAGCACAATATGTGCTATAATTCATCCTGTACTTGCTCTGTAGTATTATCAGGAACACTTTTTTGATAGTCTTTCCTTTGAATTTGAGAACAAGCAGTAAAGCTTTTGGAAAGGTTTGCCTGCTAAGTCTGTAGTCCTAAGCAACTTATGTGGAAGGAAATCAAAACATATTTAAGGATTGTACCAGGCAATTGCATTCCAGCAAAGAAGTCAATCCCACTCAGTTTGAATGGATTCTATATATATTTATTCTGGGGTAAAATTAAAACTTCAAACATCATCTGTCCTTAAATTTTTAATTTTCTGAGGTGGTAATCATTTTGCATACCTTTTGCATTCCCTAAAATTAACAAGCTTGGCCTTTCTTTATTTTTCTATAATAAAAATATTAAATTTTAAAATAAAGTGTCATGAAAGATTTTTTTAAAAAATGCTGTAAAGTACCTTGCTGTGTAAAAGGACTTTATTCCATGTGTAACACCATATTCAAAACAGGATTTGAAAGCAGAGATAATATCTTGCATGAAAGAGTTTCAATAAAGGGATGTGAGCACTAATAAAATGTCACCTTTTTTCTCAGCTAAAGATGTGGTATATATCTGTCCATTTAGCGGAGCCATCAGTGGCACATTGACAGTGACGGATTACAAAATATATTTCAAGAATGTTGAAAGGGTGAGTCTTTGTTCTATACTGCACATGATGCATTTTTCTTCTAGAGCAGTGTTTTTCAAACTTGGCCACTTTAAGAGGTGTGGACTTCAACTCCCAGAATTCTGGGAGTTGTAGTCTATACATCTTCAAGTGGCCAAGTTTGAGAAACACTGTTCAGGAGCCTTGCTCTTACAGTTTTTGCAACCAGAAATTTATGCAGCTGTATAAACTAAGCATAAAGGCCCATGACTGGCTTATGTGTCCTGCCATAATTATTTGTTTTGTCTCATGCAGGTGATAGAATGCTAAATATTTATCCATGGTGCATATAAAACAAAACAAAACCATTTTTCCCTTCAAATTCCAGGATCCACATTTTGTCCTTGATGTTCCCCTTGGAGTGATAAATAGAGTTGAAAAGATTGGAGTGCAGAGCCATGGAGACAATTCTTGTGGTATAGAGATTGTTTGCAAGGTATGGATTGGATGTTGAGGAAGTGCGTCAGTATCTCCGACTTTTGAGTGCCTTAATTTCATTATGTACCTCAGCTCTGGGAGATTTTCATTCTTTCATTCCTTGTGACTGAGCTTTTTTTCAGCTGTGAGATGTGATTAGCATCTAACATACGAGTGAAAAGAGTCATTCATTTAGTACTCAGCGTGCACTTCTTTCCCCTTAGTGAGTTAAAGTACGATGAGTGTGTTAGTCCTCTATCATACAGATGGTTGCTTCTGTTACAAAAAATCTACTTTTTGATTTCTGTACAAAAATAATGGTATGTATTGCATTAGGCTTCTCCCCAGCAGGCTAGAATAGAACCTGCTGACCAGGTACTCAAGGATCCATGAACTTCCGATAAGATGTTTTATTGTAGAAAAGCTAATAAGCCATTATGAAAGAATTCCATGAAGCTGTGTAACAAATATGAGCTGTTTGTAAAATCCATGTTCAGTTTCATGTGCCTCTTTTTCCAGCTTAGAAGGAAAAGTTGAAAGGATTATCTTTTGCCTGGGAGATGTTGTCTGTTCCTTGTTTTGGTGATGGCCTGATTTGTTATCAGTTTGTTTGTTGGGACCATTTGAGAACTAACTTTCCCAAGCTGCTCATAAGTACTGTCCTAGAAATCAGAGTTTAGGGTGGAAATTTGCTATGCGCAATGAAAGCATACAGTAAATTAAGCATGATTTTCTCTAATAAGAGTCACCAATGCAAAATGCTTAATTTCCACACTTACAAGTGCTGTAATTTTTCATTTAACAAGTCAGACCTAAAGATATCTTTTGACAGGATATGAGAAACTTGCGGCTTGCTTATAAACAGGAAGAGCATAGACTGGAGATTTTTCAGAACCTTATTACCCGAGCATTTCCTCTTTCTCATGAGCTGGTAAGTATAAATGAGAAGTTCTTAACCTTAGTAAAATACGTGAGGAAGAATAAAAGAATTATAAATATGCTGATTTTTCATAATCACAAAACATCAATATTGTCATTGAATTTGCTCAGTACAATAGATTAATTTTGTACACACGTGTTATATAAATTACAGATATAGAGAGAATAAGGCTTTTATCCTGAATGGGAATACATTATGCCAGTTAATGATTTCTAAAAAAGAATAATGTTAAAAAGGAGTTTGGGTATTTAGGTTTGCTGATACTTAGGATAAATCTTACTTCTCTAAACTAGCTCTGTATAGAAATGAAGAAATGAAGTTCAGTGACAATAACATTTGCTTTTATTTCACTGCATTCAGCCATTCTTTGCATTCAGTTACAAAGAGAAATTCCCTACAAATGGTTGGAAGGTTTATGATCCAGTGGCAGAATGTAAAAGGCAGGTGAGCATGGTTGATTTTCATGTTTTAAATACCATCCTACATCAAGCATTCTGTACATGCACACATAATACTTTTACAATAAAAGTGACACAATGCTACTTCCCCATTGTGTTCTTTGGTTATGTGGACAGTGTCCTCTTTTTCATCCCAGAGAGGATGTGGAATTCTTGAACAGAAGTCTAGATATGGTGAGTGGATGGATAAATGTGCACAGATTGGAATTCCAGAAGAGATGGAAGTCATCTGAGTAGAGATTTTTGAACACCCTGGGTGGAAGGTATACCCAATCTCAGATGGATTGGACTTCTTCTGAACATTTAGGTTCTTAGTTTGAGGTCCTTCTGGTCTCTACTCCTTTTGTGAAGGCACAACTACAGGTATGCTTTATCAACGTAGAGTGGTAAAGCCTATCTGGAAAGATTGTGTGTCTTTTCATTCATCCAGGTACTTCACAGTAAAAACAGTATGAAAACTTTAGCTAGTACTAATCCCATTTTTCTGTATTTTGAAGTAGAGACCATGTGGACGAATTGATCAGTAGATCCATATCATGTGAACTATGTAACTTTTTATTACAAAATGGTGTGTCCTACATGTGTCCTAGCTTGAATACAACAATCTGTGGGCGATATGTACAGGCCCAAAGAGTATTTGTCTGTGTGCCTGTCGTAAAATGATAATAATAAATGCATACATTTGAATACCAATTCTCTGCCAATGTACTCAGGATTGTTTACAGTATACAATAGAGCTGAATGCATATAACATATTAACATGATACATTAAGGATAAGGAAAATAACAAGCGTATACATGCTTAATATGCGAACAAGGAATGTTATACTTTGAGCTACATGCCTGCTCATATATTCACAAACATTATTGTATTTTTGTAATTTTAATCCAGAAAAAAAATCAGTACTGTATTATGTTATTTATTACAATTAGGTTGTGATTGATTCCTTGGGGATTCTAAAATCAGATATGTTATATCAGAGTTAGATTTTATATATATAAATGTTTTGTTTCAATGCAGGGTTTACCGAATGAGAGTTGGAAAATATCCAAAATTAACAGCACATATGAATTTTGTGATACGTATCCTTCCGTTCTTGTTGTGCCAACTAGCGTAAAAGATGAAGATCTCTCCCGAGTGGCTGCGTTTAGAGCAAAAGGCAGAGTTCCAGTAAGTAAGACTTAGATTTAAAACTGAAATATTGATGTCAAACTTCATCACAATCTCATACTATCACTGAAGTGTTTCCATGAGTAGTTAATACTTAATTTGAAGAAGAAAATAAACTAGATATCTCTTGAAGGATATATGCTGAATATATATTAAAGAAAGCTGAATTGGAAGAAGATAAGCTTGGTTTTAAAACTGGAGGAAGAAACAATAACCTGTGGTGTGCTGATTAAATTACTCTGATAGCTGAAAATACAAAGGGTCTGCAAGCTCTAGTAATAAAAGTCAAGGAGCACAGTGAAAAAATGGGACTAAAATTAAATATAAAGAAGACCAAACTAACGACAATAGGTACAACAAACAACCTTAAAATTGACAGTGAAGATATCAAAGTGGTAGATAGCTTCTGCCTTTGAGGATCAACCATCAACAGTAAAGGAACAAGCAGTCAAGAAAGATGCTGCCAACTAGCACTTGGTAGAGTAACCATGAAGGCCTTGAAAATATATTCAGTTGCTGTGATGTGTCTGTACCTACCAAGATCAGAATCATGCAGACGATAGTTTTCCCTGTAACACGCTATGGATGATGAAGTTGGACTTTGAAGAAAAAGGATAGGAAGCGTATTGACACTTTTGAACTTTGGTATCGGAGAAGTCTTCTGAAAATACCATGGACAGCCAAGAAAACAAACAAATGGATCATCAGAGTTCTCACTCCAACCATCAATGTCCAAACTCAGATTAGCATATTTTGGACGTATTATGTGAAGACCTAGCTCTCTGAGAAGTCCGTAATGCTAGGAAAAGTGGAAGGAGAGTGAAGAAAAGGACAACCAGCAGCAAGGTAGATAAGCTCAGTTATGGTGGTGATGGGTACACCATTGGAAGACCTAAAACACCAGATTAAGGACAGATAGTCATGGAGAAAATATTTCTATGTGGTTGTGAGAGTCAACACAAACTTGATGGCGCATAACCAATCTCTTGAAGGAAGTTGGTGTGAAGAGTAAACAAGACACAATTTCAGGCAGGGAGCTCAGATGCAAAGAAGTGTTTATATTCTTTCTGATGAAAATGGTGTAGAATGCTGCCACTAGGTATAAGATCAGCTGAACTGCAGTTCTTCTATTTGTGGGAAGGATAATGTTTCAGGTCAGGACTATGACTAACAGAACTTTTAAGTTTTTCTGCTTTGAAAATCCTCTTACTGAATATTGCTGTTTCTTGAAGAGATAGTAAGCACTAAACCAATATAAAATAGAATTAGAGGGGATTATTAATCTTTTAAACATCCTGTTAACAGGCAAGGATCCAGACAGTTACTTTTGCAAAAATCTTCTCTCTCTCTCTCTCTCTCCATCTCTCTCTCTCTTTTTGTGGACAAGAGGAAATCAAACAGCAGCTTCCTCCCAGTTGTCACATCACAACTGTTGTAAAAATCCTCAGCAGTTCTAAAAGTTTTGCTCTTATGAAGGAGACGTAACAGCTGTTCAAGAAGTTTAAGTGTGCACAGTTCTGTAAAAATAGTTCTGTGTGCTTTTTTGCGATTCTGTGTCTGATTGCTTGCCTCCAATTGGTTAATTACATCTTCTTAACCTTTCTTAACTCATGCTGGCTGGGGAATTCTGGGAGTTGAAGTCCACAGATCTTAGAGTTGCTAAGGTTGAGAAACACTGTCTTAATATATCCCATTTAATTTAATGAATTTCTGCAAGCGCTTTATTTGTAAGTTAGTTTCTTTATCTCTGCCCCCCCACCCCCATCTCTTAATCTAGGTGTTATCCTGGATTCACCCTGAGAGCCAGGCCACCATCACCCGTTGCAGCCAACCTCTCATAGGCCCGAGTGACAAGCAGTGCAAAGAAGATGAGAAATACTTACAAACCATCATGGATGCCAATGCTCAATCTCACAAGCTTTTCATCTTTGACGCAAGACAAAACAGTGTTGCAGATACCAATAAGGTAGGAGTCCCACAAGAGAAGAATGTTAAGGGAGCTTCGACGAGCAACAAAATGCAAGTTGGTTGAAAAGTGAAATGTCAGATCTTCAAATAATTTGAAATGCACTGGAATGATGGGAACCAATTGTATTTTCAGGCCAAAGGCGGTGGGTATGAAAGTGAAAGTGCCTATCCCAACGTGGAGTTGATCTTCTTGGAAATCCCGAATATACATGTGATGAGAGAATCTCTGCGTAAACTGAAAGAAATTGTTTACCCCACCATCGATGAGTCTCGATGGCTGTCCAATGTGGAGAGTACGCACTGGCTGGAATATATACGGGTAATAGCCTTGATGAAATATGGTCCTATATGGTGCTTATGCTTCTCTTTAGGCAATCTTATCTCTTCCTTAGAGTAGTCTAGATCAGTGTTTCCCAACCAGAGCAACTTTAAGGTGTGTGAACTTCAACTCCCAGAATTCTTAGCAACGCCCATGCTGGCTGGAGGATTCTGGGAATTGAAGTTTACACATCTCAAAGTTGCCCAGGTTGAGAAACACTGGTCTAAATAGTGAGGAAGGATTATCTTGATCTAAACTTTGGGGATTAGACATTTGGGTTTTAGTTTAAGTAGACTATTTGAATAACGCTTTGTAATTTGGATGAACTTTGTTCAGGAGTCCTGTATCTTGTTTTCCCCATTTAGCTCGCTGCAAACGTATTTGAGCCAAGCACAAAGACTCAGCAGGGGCTAACTAAGTTTCTACATGTAGATTCTCATCGCTGCCTGATCTCATCTCCTGCCCTGGCTTTGGAGATGGGGCTGTAAATGTTGAGGCTTAGTCGGAATTTGGGCTGCTCCTGCTATACAGTTTTTTCCCCACAAATACATGGCTAATCAACCCTAGCCTCGCTGGATTTTAAATCAACATGGTTATTTTAGAGGATTGAGTGTTCCACGAAGGTTACCGTAGACCTTACAACAGCCCTGTGAAGTAAGAAAGTATTATCGTCCCTTCTATTGCAGTAGCAGAACCAAGAACAAAAGTCATTTAATGAATTCACAGCACAGATGAGATTTGAATTAGGGAATTCCTGACTCCCAGCTCAGCCATTTATTTATTCAGTTTCACTGTCTCTCATATTTGTTGGGAATTAACTGGGATTGTTTTCATTCCTGTATGGTGCTCTTTTTCCCTTGCAACGTAGATCATTTGGCACATAAACCGAGGCAAATCTCCCAGTGGCAAAATGCCATAGGAACTACAATTCTGCTTGGCCAACTACCAGAAGTACCTAATTTGTAAACACGGCAGATCTTTGTAGCTTTCTAGCGAAGTTATGAAGTATTATGATCTATTTCGTGTTCCAAAGCACAGATTCTGCAGATGCCAAAGGTCATGGTGGCTGGTGATATGGGACGTAGAATTCCTATGAGTATTGATATCCTGAGGCCCAATCCTTTACCATCTTATTTTATTTATCTATTTATTTATTTAAAACATTTGTATAGCCGCCCATCTTAACACAACTCTGGGCAGCTTTTTTTCTTTTTCTTTTTTGGTGCCTTTGAGTCAGTTTTAACACCTGGTGACTGCCTGGGCTACTCTGGGCAGCATACAGCAATCAGATAAAAAACAAATATAAAAACCACATGAAAAATATAAAAACCACATTAATAAATATCATAAAAACCAGGATACAAACCATAGGGGATGGAGAATAAAAATGGCCCCCTCAGCCCAGGAGCCATCTAGGCAGGTCTCCAGTTCCCTGGGGGCCCCAGGCCTGATCACAGAACCAGGTCTTGAGGGCCTTTCAGAATAGCAAAAGGGATGGCACTAATCTAACCTCGGGAGGAAGGATGTTCCCTGAGGTGGGTGCCACAGCAGAGAAGGCATGTTTCCTGGGACCCACCAAATGGACCCACCATCCCTAGCTGATGGTACCCGCAACATGCCTTCTCTGCAAGATCTGATGGGGCAGGCTGATATAACTGGGGAGAGGTAGTCCCTCAGATAGCCCAGTCCCATGCCATGAAGCCATTGCCAAGTCCCCGGGGCAGTTGACTAAGGACTTTCGGAAACAAAATGTTGGATGGCATAAACCATTTGGTCCAATCCTGCAAGTCTTCTGCTGTATCCTTGCACCAAGACATCTCCTAACAGAACTTCCTTTAGTGTAACATTTCGACCTGGATTTTTTTTCTTTTTCTAAAAGATGCTTCTTGCTGGAGCTGTGAGAATTGCTGACAAAATTGAGTCAGGCAAAACCTCAGTGGTGGTACACTGCAGCGACGGTTGGGACCGTACAGCTCAGTTGACTTCCTTGGCAATGCTAATGTTGGACAGCTATTACCGTACCATCAAAGGCTTTGAGGTCCTCTTAGAGAAGGAATGGATGAGTTTTGGACATCGCTTTGCAATGGTGAGTAGAACGCAGGCCAGAAAGGAAGACTTCTCTTTGGAAGGACTTCCTTTGGAACCCAAAAAGGGCAGCGATCATCCCAAGCCCCAGCAAAAGCAATTCATAAAAGAGGCTTAGCTCCGTCCTGAATTTGGTTTAGCACAATGAAACTGCCTGCTGGGCTGGATTCTGACGCTGGTCAATTGCAATTATGACCGTTGCCCTTTTTGCAAGTGATTTCCATCCACTGCTAACATTCTACATCTGTGGAAGCTGCTGACTTAATGCAATATTTGCACTAGCTTAATGCAATATTTCTCAACCTCAGCGACTTTAAGATGCATGAACTTCAACTCCCAGAATTCCCCAGACAGCTGGCTGGGGAATTCTGGGAATTGATCTCCATGCAATAATATGTGGAGTTATTGTGATAAACAATAATTACTCAGACCACAATTTAGCATGATGTGTGAATCCAGTCACCAAGGTAATATCTGTATTCAGCCTGGCTCCTCCATCTCAGCCTTGCATCCACCTGCATTTCTGTTCCTTCTTTTGCTTCCAAGGCCTTGTTGGCTTCAGTACTTGGTGTGCATTAAGCAAAGGGAGAAACCTTATTTAAGTTCCTTTCTTTTTTCTTCTCCTGTAGCGAGTCGGCCATGGAGATGATGATCATGCAGATGCTGATAGGTCCCCTATCTTCCTGCAGTTCATAGATTGTGTCTGGCAAATGACAAAGCAGGTGAGACCTTTTTATTTATTTGTTTGTTTGTTTTCTACTTATTTAACATATTTCTATGCTGCCACAATCAGACTTTTGGAAGCTAACACAGAAAAGGTTCAAGTTAAAATACCCACAGTAAAAACAACCATTAAAACTCTCAAAAGTTTTAAAGTACAAAATAAAATGAGAGGAGGGATAAGTTAGAGCAGAAAGGGAAATGTTCAGGTCAGGGGAAAATACTCCAGAACAGCTTGAACTTCAGGAGCTTCTGAGAGACCAGCGAGGAGGGAACCAGCTGTTCCACAGTGTTGGTGCTGCTACAGAAAAGCAGCAGCATCTCCCTCTCCAACCTCCCTGTGGGATTTACAGCAGTTTCTCCCTGGTCAGTTGTAATTGGTCAGGTGGTCTTGCAGTTATCTGTCAGCCTTGTGAGGTAGTCCAGACAAGAAGCAAACCCAGGAGTACTAACTCTATCTTTATTGTAAGGTTACATTAACAGAATCTTGCAAGTCTGAAAGTACATCTCTCCCCCCTTGCCTTTACAGCCCAAGAAACTAGGGAGGGCCCCTTCTGAGACATTTGCCTCACCCCCGTTCCTTCTGCAAGCTCAGCTGCCACTTATCTGACCATTGCCTAGTCTGTGGCTCTTCCTCCTGTCTCCCAAGGTCATTCCCACATACCATTACAGTATCTGGGTGCCAAGGGCTTTTGCGATGATCTCTTTGGCGTCCTTTTAGAGCAGTGTTTCTCAACCTTGGCAACTTGAAGATGTCTGGACTTCAATTCCCAGAATTCCCCAGCCAGCCATGCTGGTTGAGGAATTCTGAGAATTGAAGTCCAGACATCTTCAAGTTGCCAAAGTTGAGAAACACTGCTTTAGAGCAAGGTTTCCAAAACTGTAAAGAGTAACCACAGGGAGGTACAGACAGTTCAAGGGAGATGTGAAGAATCTTTTAGTTGTACGTGGTTACAATAAATCCACCTTTCCCAAAGTTTCATTGCTTTGTTTTCATTGTTCATTTATATTCCTTTTGGTGTTTGGATTTTTAGGGGAGGTGTATACATGAAGATTACACTAAAGGGAGGTGTGATGGTAAAAAGTTTCAGAATCTCTGCTTTAGAGATCACGTTTAAATGAAATTGTCTTATTCTTTGGCGCACACAGAACAACAACAAAAATGCTGGGTCTGTTTTAGAAATTCTGATCCATATTGTCTGTATCCTGAATATACCAACATCAAGACTAAGAAGCTAAAACCCCTTCAAAAAGTTACATGGCAAAATCACAATTTTTAACTGTTCGCAGTGGATCCTACCAGTTGACAATCCATGGAAAGTTATTCCTCTATTTTTTGGCTGGGATCTTTTTCATCCATGCCATTTTTGGATTTCCCAGATTTGCAGGATTGGAGATCACACTACTCCTGTCTAGGAACTGATTAATTTCTCTTGCATGCCTAGGAAACTCTGCTCAGAAAAGGCTCTTCTGTTCAATAGAAGGACATGATTTTTTAAATATATTTGGTAAATGTTGAACAATGTTTCCGTAACCCAATTTAAACCAGAAGTTGCAAATAAGGTATAGCCAGTGTTCCAAAACTAAAGTATTTTTCAAATAGAAAATCTAGAGTGATTTTGTAGTTTTTTCTGATTATTAGGAGCTCACATTTGTCCCTGAATCTATAAACTCATTTTCTCTCAGTAGCTGTCATTTGTAGCTCTGTGGTGCAGTACCTAGTTTACATATCAAAAGTATCTAATTAATATGCGCAAACTCTTGTTCTTGATTCAGAACAAATTAATAACAAAGCATCTTTTCTTAAGGTTTTGAGGACATCATTTATAAAAGTGATATCCTTGAGTTCCTGGTAACTTTGTGTTATAATCATTCTAATCTTTGTACCTAAATTCAGCTCATTCTTAAATAAGAGTAATTCTTGGAATTATTAATTAAACATTCTTGCTTATGTTTTGAGCAGTTGTCTCAGATAGATATCGTACAAGAGTTATAAAGTAGACTTTATTTGAAAAAGAATCGGATGCTGGTTGTGACTACAGTTGCATCGTTGCTATTCTTAATAGTGAAAAAGAAGAAAGTTGGGAAGGAGTCAAGAAGAAGAAAACGGGAATCAAATCAAACACGCCATATCCATAAAACAGTGTGGTCTGGAATCCCATAAAATTCCCCTTTAAAAACAATCAACTTCAGGAAATTCAGAAAAGTCCTTTTCTGTATCTTGTTTACATGGAAGGCTAAAGGACTCTCAATCTTTGCCAAATACTTAAGATTTGACATTCTGTTGAGGGTCTGATTGTTTGATTTGTAATTTAGCAAGATGGCACAAGGAAAAATATACAAAGGAAATAAAACTAATGGCAGCAGATTGGCATAAATAAGCTAGTGGGAACTACATAAACTTATCTGAACCCAAAAGACAAGGTCTTGCTATATTTTTGCCGATTTTATGAAATAGATTTTTTAAGTGCTTGGTTGGGGAGGGATAGGAAGAAGAAGAGCATAAAAATAAGTGGTTGCAACTTTCAGGAATACCAGCAGAGACTTCCAGTTTTTTCCCCCATTATAGATAAATCCAAACTGTTTCAAGGTAAATTATGCACCACTGATCACTGGTGAAAGCCTTGGCAAGTTTTGATATATGAAACTCAATTTTTATTCCACTTGATCTTAATTAGCATCCCAACAGGATGGTTTCCTGTGACAGAGCAGGCTGCTCTGAAACACTGAATCAGCAACCCTTCCAAAAATGTGCATTCTTGAACAACAGAGCCACTGAGGGACAATCTTAATCTCCCACTGGTAGATTTAGGAGCCTGCCAGATAATTCCATTGCGCTAAGCTTGAGAAAAGGCAAAGCATTTTGTACATGGCCGCAGAGCACAATATGAGTTATATCAGCTGGCCCTCTTCCAGGAAACTGAATAACTGAAAACAGTTTTTCAAATAACTCTAGGTCAGTGTTGTCCAAACTTGGCCACTTTAAGATGAGTGGACTTCAACTCCCAGAATTCCCCAGCCA